TTACAGGAGAGACTTGATGTTCTCTACAATTAAGTGGAAAAAAATGCATATATTAGTATCAGCATTGGCAATCGGCCAAAATAAAAATATTGGAAAATGTTGGCCTATCGGATATCTGCAAAAATCAGCCATCCCTATTTAGTGCTTTAATTTTCACATTAGACATACAAATATTATGAAGACTAGACGCAACCACATGATACACCTCTGCTTCTCATCTCTTTGCCAGGCTTTGATTAAGGAAGTGGTCCACCAGAACGTAAAAGATAAGCAGTGGATTGTGAACAAGGCTTTGGTTACGTATACTGTCTCAGTCCCTCATAACATACTCAATAATAATTAAGCCTCCATTCCAGCAGAGCCTTTCCAGTGAGCCAACATGCACAATAGCAGCACCCTGATTCTGTTTAGCCTGAATGAAACAGAAGGTTAATTAGTATCATTGGTACTCTACTATTTCATGTCAAAATGGCTATTTTGCGTCCTCTGGGTCAGATGGCTAGTTTCACGTAAATGTGGAGGGAGTGGTATGGTGAGGAGACAGTAGACACAATATAATGATTTTAAAATCCCCGGAGAGCTTTTTAAAATTATTTTTGCTTTGTTATGTTAGTTGAAATACCAAATTTACAAATAATTTGATATATAACAGTATTTTTTTAACTAAAAGTTTTTTGTCTTTGTGTGACACAACATTTATCACATAAACATAGTTTTCATTGCAAATGGGGATATATTAAATGTGTGTCCGTGTAGTTTAAAGAATAAAATTACTTTCAAAGGCTACAGATTTGCACTTATGATTGAGGAGTCATAATATAAAATGTTATGAGAATAGGCTGCTGGTAAAAGCTGTGACTTTAGGGTTTTAACTGCAGTGAACGCTTTAACATTAATAAAGAGAATAACAACACTTTCAGATTTGTGTGTGGAAAACAACAATGATAAATCTGCTTTCTCTGCATCCCTGTCTTAGGATCACTGGAGTGTATTCAGTGTCCTGAGAGGTTTTGGTCCACCTCAAACCACACACCCGGCAGGTGGATTTCCTTTTTCACAATGAATCCATGGGAATTGTCCTGTCTGTCATCTCATCTATCAAACAGCAACCACATTTGTCAACTTCCTTTACTACCAACACACACCTTTGGTAAAGTATAGCACTATCCCACATTTTATAAGTATTACATTGTAGTTTCATCATGCTAAGAGAATAATGGTGTAATGATATTACAGTTTCCAGATCCATTTTCGTCAAAATTAAAAAAAAGAGGCCATCTGCTGTAATTTATCCCTGTGTCTCCTTACCACAAATCCCTCCTCTGCTTTGAGGTGCGAGCCAACGACTCAGAGGTGAGCTTCATGCTCCTCCTGTCACTCAAGTTGTGCTTTGTATTATTTTATTCGACAGTTGCTTGGTGCTCAGCTTCCGAAGTTGGGCATCTCCATCTGCACTGTACAGGAGATTCTGTGTTCAACACCTCATGTATAATGTTGTATTTTTCACAACCACTCCATATGAGGACAGGGTCAGTTATACAAAAATCAAGATAATATTTGAAATTCTGTTGGCTCTGTACAGGACTTCTCATTGGTTGTGGGCTACACTGGCCTGTTGGCCTGTCTCTGCCTCCTTCTTGCAAGGAAAATCCCTGACAACTTTAATAAAGCCAAATTGACCATCTTCAGCATGCTGCTCTTCTGTACTGTCTGGGTACCCGCCTACAGCTTTCCTGGGAAGTACACAGTTGCAGAGGAGATTTTTGCCATTCTGGCCTCAAGTTATGCCTTCTGTTCTGTATCTTTGTGCCAAAGTGTTTCATTCTTCTGAGGCCTGAAAGAAAACACTTGATGGCCCGATAGTGGGAAATATCAACACCTCATGGTCAATAGGCAAAGGCATAAAAAAGTATAGACTTTTGCGAACCAAGTGGTGTCCATCATGACAAATGAAAACACAACAACAGAATATATATATTGGATTTTCGTTATATTCAAATATTCACTTTCCTTCTATGCTCAGTTAAACGTTTATTTAACTGCTGCTGTTGAATCTACTGTAACAAAATATCAGCATACATAAATGGAAACAATCATCTCAAATCATCTCATGAGTTACCCTGACAGCCCATCATAAACATTCACTCATCGGACAGATATGTGTTGGAGTGTGTTTGCGTTGTGCACTGTGAAAATTGTTTGCCCTGACACATATTATTCAAAGTGAGAAACTCTGTATTGCTGTCTCTCGATTGCATTCTGTCAACACATTTCTTATCTGTCCTCCCATTTTAGAACATCCAAACATGTATCTGGTGCCTATTGCCTAATTAGATCAGCATAGTGACTCATACAAATAAAAAAATCATTACTACCACCACTTCAATTTTGGGAGATTTTTGAAACCTTCAGATCATTCACTGCCTTATATAATGTAGGCAACCTCATGGGCCCCAGTGAATGGTGCTATTATGGCAGAGACCATTAGTATCGGCTGCAGTTTCTATGGTGCCCATCTCCTTTGTGACACTCGCCCTCACTAACATAATAGGTGAAAGTAAGTTTGGGAAAAAAGCTATCTGAAAAGAACTGGTTTTAAGAAAGAAAAAATACTGACAGCCAGGATTAGGGTGAAAGAGATGTCATCATCATGAAAAGAGAATTCAGGTCATGGTCTTAATATTTGGAAGACATGTATCATTCACTCCACTTACATAATGATTATGCAAAGTAACATGATATGTAACCTTATTTGATTTAATCATAAAATACACATAATACTAGCAGTATTATTTCACTGGGGGGCTATTGATTCAACTTAATGGTCATTTGTAGATAGTTCGTAGTTTTACAACAACATATTTTGCCTATATGGTAATAATCTAGTTGTGAATACTTTCTCTCTTTTGTTTATGTGTTCACCAATATATATATATATATGTTGTCATATTTTTTTAGACCCTTCCCCTTGTCATATTACATACATTTTCAGTGTTTATGACCAATTCATCAGCAATCCAGGCAAGGACTACCTGATCTCAGCCAGTTATGTACTTCAAAAAATGGTGTTTGTCAGTCTGCAACCAACACATAATGCTAATTGCTGCTTTTGTAATTGTGATTTACCTCCTGAATTGCTGGTGTCAGTTGCAAACTCTTCAAACTTGAATGGGAGAAAAAGTCTCAAATAGTATAATTGTCAAGTAGAAGTCACAAGTGGATCATTAACTACTCCAACTGAAATACACTTAACAGAATATTTTCTTACAAAATACTTTCTCAAAACAGACCATTAAGCAATACTTTTGACATTGTCAAAACAAACTAAACGCTGCAGTCTGCACCAAACTGATATTTACTTTGGGAGTGCTGGATTCGGGATTGGAGGATGTCCTGTTTTATCTATCCCTGTATCTCTACCCCAATCACTGCTAACAGTTCCTTTCACCCCAAGAAAACTTTATATTCATTACACCGTAATTTGTATTACTTATCTAACCTCTGTCTTTAGTGAGGTAAACCTGTGTGTCTCTGGGCATGCTTTTGTCATGAAATAAACAGATCTGGTCAGCATTTGCCCCCCTAAAAATAACTACTAATAAGATTGAGTAAATAGTATGACCTTACTGCATCAACAAGTATGCCCTCCCGTTTACCTCTACACTGTCAGCAAACCTTTGTCGTCACATCTCAACTTATCTTTTTGCAATGTTTCTAGGAATGGATTTCTGTGAATCCGGACTTATTCTCTACACCCACTCTTTAATATATTTTTCACAGCCATGGCGCACTTTATTTTACGACCGTGTGCCTGTAATTTGATGGCCTATTCATTTTATCGAAGAAATTACAGCACAGTGTTTTCTCCTTCAAATTATTTAACCCTCGAATGGAGATGATCTATTCTCTTCTCTTAATTAAATCAAGCAAATAGTGCCACCATCTGAAGAATTACTCTTTGAAATGAAAAAAAGACAGGGTTCACACTATGAAGAGAAATCTACTGTCTTATAGTTCTCTCTGTCAGAAGAGAGGACAGACAAGACTTGAAAATGCAAAGAGTAAGAAGAGTGAAGGTTAGAAATGAATGTAAATCGAGTAATACAGTGTCAATAAAACACTGCGGTCCATCTGCTCCTCCTGACACCTTTTCCTCCTGTCTGTCCCTGATGGACGTCGATGTTTCTCCATCTTTCAATTCATTCCTCTGACCTGGGAGGAACAACAGATCAATCAGTGGAGGATAATCAATGTTAGCCTGAGAGCAGCTGTGCAGAGCAGGAAAAATGTCTGACGCTTTAGTTTGTTATTGTAGGGAACAGCCAGGCGTGATGTTTATATGTAAAGGCCTCTGGAGTATGAGGATTTAATTAACTAATGACAGCTGGGATTTCCAAAGAGCATACCTCTGAGACCCTGGGCCTCATCATTCTATCTCAGGTCAAATCAGCATGGACAATGCTGACAAATCCCATTGAGATTTAGCAATGAGTTGTCCTTCACATCCCCACTCACCACGTCATGGCGTGTCATGTAGCCGGAAAAATAAATCTGATTCAAAGAATAGTTGTTCATGTTTTTGTAAACTGTTGACCAGGATCAAATCTCCTCTTTTGGATGATGCACTGTTGTTTGCATTGTTTCAGTGATTGTCGTTATTTTTACAACTGACCCAATGAATTTACTGTAGTAATGGAGTGAAAATGTATAGAGGAAAAAGACATTGGGAAAAGTTATTGGTAAGAATAAGTGACAGCATGGTTGTGCATTTCCTGATAGGACATGATGAATGACAGAAGACAGCATTGACAGCCCACTAGTACCATCTGGTGGTGAAATATAACTGTTCAAGGACAGGAGGTTTACCTTGTAAATCTGCCACCACATACTACTTACTTGAATCTTTTCATCATTTTAAGTGAAGTGAGTTCAATATATATCTTTTATTTATCTGGGAAAAAGGCAAGTCCATAAAATGTGCATGGAATAAATATGATCTGCTAAAATTTGTCAGTGGCAACTTTGGACATCAGGTGTTTCCTTGTGTTCTTTTCTGGCCTTAGTAGGATTATGTAGCACTTTGGTGCAAAGATGCAACCCAGCAGTCCATAACTGGACGCCAAGATAGCAAACACCTCAGTGACTGTGGCGTACTTCCCCGGAGAGCTGATGTAGGCAGGAACAAAGGCTACCCACACTGCACAGAAAATAAGCATGCTGAAGGTGATGAGTTTGGCCTCGTTGAAGTTGTCTGGAAGCTTCCTTGCTAGGAAAGCCAAGAAGAGGCAGAGGCAGGCCAGCAGGCCAATGTAGCCCAGGACAAGAGCGAATGCTATGGGTGAACCTTCGTCACACAAGAGAATGACAATAGCGCTCTCGCGTGGCATCAGTTGGCGTGGAGTTGGGGGAGCAACAACCAGCCACACTGTACAGATGATTACCTGCATAATAAGAAAATAATATTTTTCATACATATACATATAAATTAATGAACATCTAACAATTTAAAGTACATACAAATAAGACCTCACCTGAACCAGTGTACAAAGAATAATGATTGCCTTTTGCTGTGTAGCTCCAAACCATTTCATGACATTAGTGCCTGGAAGTGTAGCCTTGAAGGCCATTAGCACCACAATAGTTTTCCCAAGGATGCAAGAGATGCAGAGGACAAAGGTGATCCCAAACGCTGTGTGGCGCAGCATGCAGGACCACTCAGAGGGTGCTCCAATGAAAGTTAATGAACATAAGAAACACAGAGTCAGGGAGAACAGCAGCAGGAAGCTCAGTTCAGAGTTGTTGGCCCTGACAATCGGGGATGTTCTGTGAAAGGAGAATATTAAGACCACAATACAAGTGCAGAAGGAGCCAATGATGGAAATAGCCATCAGGGTGATGCCCATGGTGTCACTATAGGACAGGAACTCCACCTGTTTAGGGATACAGGCTGTCCTCTGAGCATTGGACCAGAACTCTGGCAGGCAGCGTACACACTCTATGGCATCTAAAGGAAAGACAAGAAGCCTTTAGCCGGTATACTGTGGCTTTTCCACTGCATCTTTAAATCAGATTCTCAAACATAATGTGGGCAGTTAGCCTTTCCTCACCAGTCTGATTGCTAATCTCCCCAGCTTTACAAACCACACAATCATGGCAGCAGATAGGGAAGTGAGGTCTGATTGCCTTCCGGGTACCTGGGGGACAAATGCTGCTGCATACTGACAAGGGAACCTGAGTAAAAGGAGATATGCATACTACACTGGTCACAACACAGTCACATAATGATAATATTTTTGCACAAAATGCAATTCACAAAACATTATTTCATTCTATTGAGATCCCTACTTTGGTTTGGTTGCCATTCCATACAATGTTCTGTTCCTGTAGCTGGAGTTTTTGCTTTCCAACTGTGATTGTCTCATCAAATTTACCAATAGTGGCAAACTCAATTTCTCCATTTGGTGTCAGTTGCCAGTTAACCAGGTCATATATAGCTGCTGGGTCACCATTCTCATCAAACTTGATCTCATCTCCAAATGAGTTTAAGTATTCCACTTGTGTTATGTAATGAAGTAGCTAAGGGAATAACATGCATATAATCATCTTATAGTATCACCAAAATCTATAACTAATGTTTTCTACATCACTATAACGTTTGTTAATGTAGACTGAATTAGTGAATATATGGTATGGTACCTGCCATGGCTCTATTTTGTCTGTGTCTGGACAAGCCTGCAAAGGAAATGGGCCTTTTCCTTTCACACAACTTCTCATAGCTTTCAGTGCATGGGCAATGGCATACACAGCCTTGTAGACATTGTAGGAAATCCTTAGCTGTGACACATCTGAATAGATGTTCTTCACACTTCCCAGCTCTTCTGCTCCAGAGCATGGAGGTTTACCCTCAACATTATGATCCTGACCTTCAGCCTGCACACCCAGGCTACACTGAAACACTTCTTCCCAGAAGGGTATCAGGAAGGGATTTTCAAGGGCATCTGGGCTCAAGGGATGCAAGCGAAGCAGAAACTCTTGCAATCCAGGGATGTGCGCTCGTCGAATGGCAAATCCCATAGAACCCTGGAGGATGGGGTGGTACTTTTTGGGGGTGGAGAGGACAGCAGCTGTGCTCCAAGCCTCACTGGCCAGCCACTGTATCCCAGTTAGCCCCTCTCTAAATTCAAAAGATATGTAGAGGGCATTTTTTGCAATGACAAACACATCAGAAACTCAAACTAAGCAAACCTGTAAAATTACAAAATGTAAGGTTCTAAACATAAGCATCATGCCTGAGTCCTTCATCAAACAATGCAGCTGCATCTTGTTCCACAGCAAACAGTAGAATCACCCGAGCCCCAGAGGAGCGAATCTTGGAGACGATAGATGCAATGGCAGTCTGTGCTCGGTTCTTAGGGATGATCTCATGGAGGGCAACACAAGCGCCTAACTTTCTAACCTAAGAGAGCAACAGGGGTGATACATGACAACTTACTTTGTAAGTTATACAGAGAAAATTACAAAATGGCAATTTAGTATAATAAAATTCTTAATCTATCGGTGTGCGACCCACCTCATCTGCAAATATGTTAGCACCACCACGGCCATACGCATCATCCCCTGCAATCACACCCACCCAAGTCCAGCCAAAGTGCTTGACAAGTTGCACAAGTGCATCCACCTAGAGATAGTAAGAGGAGGAAACAGAAAGAGATGGAGAGAGTGATTTATGTTGTTTCAGAAATGAAAATGTGGGCATGGTTTTGTTTGTGTTATAGAGATTAACCTGGAAGAAGTCACTGGGCATGGTCCTTAAAAAGGCAGGGAATTCTTTTTTGTCACTTAAACAGGCACAGCTGGAGAAATAACTGACCTGAAAGAATGAAAAAGTAGCATTTGAAATTTGCAATGAACTACTGAAAGAAACCATTTTCAGCATTAAAACATTCTTAAATCAGACTTAAATCACAGTATGCAAAGGTTACAGTGTTTGACCCTCCCCAGTGGCAGTAACAAACAACAAAATAGTGTCCCAAAAGCAATAAACACCCCTATCTCCACCCTGCCTGACTTTATTACACAGTAAATCACTGGTACACGTTTGTTAAATTGGTATGACTAACCAACCTGTGGCACATGGAAGACTCCCAGGAATCGGGCCACTACGAGAGACTGAGTAGAGCCTCCGTCACCTATCACTGCAGGTACGGTCCCTTGACAGGTGCTCTTACTCTGTATCTCTCCTTCGACCCCTGAATCCTTCTCACCCATTAATTCCATGGCAGCCTTTAGAGCCTGATGGGGTGTACTGCATGAATCATAGATCTTATATCCCAGTGTGATGTTGGGAAGAAGTTTGCCATTTCTGTTGATCTCCTCAATGGCAAAGATCATAGTTTGCATCCAACGAAATGTCCGAAAGTTAAATCTAGAAGAAGAGAGGTTTTGTGGCCAAGTTTGAAGCAATTATAATTTTCAACAAAATTACAAGTAAAAAAACCCAACAACTTTATTTTATTAAACAATGTTCACGAAACACTGACACATAGAAACTAGAAGCAAGATTTATGCCATATTCAGCCATGTGAGTAGAGATTGTAGTTGTTTAATCGCAACTTTGAAATTTGAGGACTTACCTGGTGCACTGTGTGGGCGGAGGTGTAGAGGTGAAGGACAGACTGGGCTCCATCACCATGTCATGAAGGGAGAAGAGTCCCCCCAAGATGATGTCCCCCTTTTTCTCCAGCGCAGGCAGGGACATAGAACCTGGGATTATCTTGCAATGCTGGCTCTGGTCTTGGTGGCAGTTGTAGGGAAAAATAACACACCATAGGAGACTCAAAAACAGGGGCTCTACTGACCTCATCCAAAAATGTTTCATCCTTTACGCTAAGTCACCACATAACGTTTATAGCAAAAGATCAAGTAATAGATACTTGGATAACCAATAAAAACTGCTCGAAACAAGAACCCTGTAAGCTGACAAAGCAAAAAGCAGTTTGTCGAAGGTTAGCAAAAAACAAGAGCTAGTATACAGAAAAGAATACATGATGACCCCATTCAGACACAGTATGTAAAGAAATGTTGTGCAAAATTTCTAGTAAAGTCAGAATAGGAAAATCATCTGGGCATCTTTATTGCGGTTATACTGCACAGACAAGCTATCTAGTCTTTACTGTCAAGAAAGAAATGCTGCACTGAAGCCTATATATGTTACATGCCTCATATCACAACTGTCAGATTTAATTCATTTCCCCGGGGCCTCTGATCAATGGAAAAAGAACCCCCAGTTTCACAGTAACAACAATAACAAGGAACTGGAATGAAAACTTGACCATAATGGAGAAAGACATGAGCTGTGTCATTTCACAATGTCATGCCTGACTAAGGCTAACTCATCCTTCAGTGATGTGAAGAGGCAGGCAGTAGACCCATGTCACAAGGGGCTGCTAAACTAAGTTACATACCTTTCAAACACACACACACACCCACCTGTGAGCGCGCACACACACACACACACACACACACACAGTGAACTATGAATAAGAGGATAACTAGAAAAACAGAAAGCGGTACATAAGGCCCATTATTGTTAAATGTACATTTACTGTGAGCATATTAATTGCATTGCAGTGTTACTGACATATTGTTAAATGGTAATTTGGTTTTTTTAAAAAGTTCTGGCTTAATTTTCTATTAAATGTCTTTTCTACTCTGTCTTTTTTATTCTTGCGTGGGGTTAATATGGTAAAATTAATGAGTCATTAGGATGTTGTGAACTTTATCAGGACAATACCCGCAGGCTACAAAACAGAGCACCACAGAGTGTGTAGCAAAGGAAATTTTGCAAGCTGTATGTTGTGCTGCCTCAGGTCATATAGGTTTTTTAATTCATTTAATATGTCCCTGTGTGACACTCATTAGAGGAAGGACAAAGGTGCCCTAAAACAGAACACTCAGGATTATGATAAAGTTTCCTTTTTCTTGCAAGTAAGCCTTTAACAAGATATTAGACTCAAAGTATCTTATGCTCTCGGGGGAAAGGGGTCAGCCCTAGTGTTTCTGAAAACAAGCTGTATAAAAGTGAACAATAAGGAGATTGCAATTGTATCACAGTTTCCTCATGGGGATATGTGATTCAAGATAATTAAAGCCCCTGAGTATTGGATGTTTCACTATATTCTATTAAGCCCTTGAATGTGCAGATGGCAAAAGACAGACTGACAGACAGAAAAAAAAAACAGTCATACAGAGCAGTGAGAATAGCAGATTCTATTCTGATAGAGATACAAGCCATTGTGAGCTACAATTTAAAAAGAGACTCAGGACAATGATGAGTATGACGAGTTTAAGTATGTTAATTAGCGATAGAGACATACAAACAGCGAGACAGGTAGATTGATAGACGATGAATGAGAGAAAATGCAGTCTGACAGACAGAGGACAGCTGGAAGGAACAACAGAAATAGGCATAGGAATAGGCATAGGACAAATAGAATCGATCAAAGAAATAATATTATGAGTCATTTCAGTTCAATACTTTCGGTAATGGAAATTTCGTGAAAGAAGTTATTGTCCAGTCTGCTCAAATTCCTCAGTTTCTGAAAGTTGTTTGGAAATGTGTAATGCATATATATTTTCAGCCAGAATTGCAACAGAGCTTTGAATCGGAAACATGTTTCCATGGGGTTAGGCTGAGCACATGGGAGTAGGCAAAGTTCAAAGGTGACTGCTTGGAGTCATGGGCAGAAGGTCATCTGTGCTTGTTGTGATGGCAAGCACAGAACCCACTATAGTGCACACTGTGGTCAAGAAAGTTATCGAGCTGAAGAAGGAGTCATTTATGGCTTGGTGGGCCCAGGTGACCCTCACTGGACAGCTATTGGGAGGCCAGAAGAGCTTCTGAACCTGTACTAAAGACCTGGAGTGAAGTGGAAAAGGTAGAGCTTAGAGGAGCAGAAGAAGCCTTGTCAATTTATCTGGTGGATGAAAAAATAAATAGAAAATCCAGACATTGAAAGTGCTTGGATTTACAGAGCAAAGAACAATACCCCAGGCGTCAGGGAGAATATATAATACAGAGAATTGTAAAAATAAAAATATCTGAAAAAACTAATCTCTGATTCAGTATTCACAAGAGATTTATGTATGTAGATAACTGGATGACTCTGTCTCAAACTTATAATGGACAATGTGTTACTTTAAGTCTTAGTTTTTCATTAAAAAAAATGAAATAACCTGCTTGCCACATAGCTTTTATTCTGGTTGTTGTGATTCTGCTACACCTGTTCATATCAATACCAACATTTCCAATTAAAAAACACAGTATGTGGTGGGTATTTAATAATGCACTGAGGAGTCAACTGTAATAAAATATGACTAATTTGCAAATTGTTGTAACATTTGTTGCAGACATTAAGCAGCACACACTTTAAAATAGTTGGTAAAAGTCAAAAGAAAAATAAGACAGTGGTTCTTTACCCCGTAGTTAACTTATTATTCAACAAGCATTTTTTTCCTTGAGAGTATTGCTGCAGTACGTGATCCTGGGCTTAAATGATGGCCTGACAAAGGCTTCAACAAGATCAGTGATGTATACAGTAACAGCAGACGTTTGAGCGTATAAAGAATAAACATAATATTCCATTTCCACATTTAGGCACAAAATCAATCAGTATTATGTTTACTGATTTGCACAGTACATCACTCTGGTGGTCATGGTCAAGTATCTTTAATCTATAACCTACTTATGTCTAACTCAGAGGAGTCCCCAGAGAATAAGAGACTTCCTTGATGTATTAGAAAGTACTATTAACGACACATTGAGACTCCTGCACTACAAATAGATCATGTGTGCTTATGTAATTCCCTCCCTCTATATTCATGGGAAATGGAAGTAGGGGTGCTGAGGGGGCTACAGCACCCCCTTAAAATCTTGCTTAATGAAAACCATTAGTTCATGAAAATGTTTAAACTCATGACATTCTCATTTTTTATTGGGATTTACATGCATACATTAGGTATTTATGGAAGGAAATAAGTTGTCCCTTGTTTTTTATTAGTTTTATCTGCTAGAAAGTTATGCAATTTGTGTAAAATGTTAATAAATTAAAAAGACTATAAATTATCCTGCCCATTTCATTTCTCTCAACACTCCCAACTTCCAGCATCATTGTCCCTATTACATCATTTGTGAAATGCAATGTTTATAAGGTCTTACTGTTTTACTTTTTATGGGATTGCTCAAGGGTTTTGGAAATATGTTCTCACAAATAATTTCAAACTTCCAGATTGTCCAAAACTGTGTATTCTTGGTCTTTCCTCTGATATGCCAAGGCTCAGGCCAGTGGTTGAATTTCAGTGTCTTGCCTTTATAGAGAAATTAACCTTTGCTATAAAAAGAAGACCTGATCCTTTATTTTATTGTTTGGGTGTTTGTGTGTGTGTGTGTGTGTATGGAGGAAATCCCTACACTTTTATAGATGTGACCTTGACAAATGAAATATGTGAGCAGATAATGTAAAGCTTGTTTTTGTATACCAGCTTTGTAATTCATTGTATTCATAACCATTCTACATGTTAGATGCTTTTATATTCATTTAAGACATACTTTACACGATTTGTTCAAATAAAGTATAATTGTTTTATTTTATTATTTTATAAAAGTACTTATTTAATGTGTTTCTAAATAATGAATATATATATATATCATAATGTAACTACTATATATAATACTCATAATATACTATATCACTACATATAATACTAGTATTACTATACATGACACATGCCTTATATGTTAGTTCATTATCATTATTTGTCATTTATCATTGCATTATTTGTGCTTTCCTGAACAACATACTTTGAATTTGGGTACATCCCCTATCAGAACAGCACCTCAGGATTATAACTGTTGTGACTTTAGCAATTCACAATAGTTGAAATGAAAATTACTATGTGATGACATTGTGCATGATCCTCCAAAAGCTATTTCAGCTCATCTCCTATGAGTATGGTTCAGTGCTCTCAGTCCTGTTTCTGCCTCCTTTTGTCATTTTTCTTGTTGGATGTTTATGGGTCTTCTATCCATGTCTCCACATAGCCAAATAGAAAATGTTAAGTGGCTTTAACCAGATTCAACGTGGGGCACACACATTTTGTTGTGTGAAATATGTGTCTGTTCTTCTTTAACTGTCAATGCCTTCCACACATGGCTTACAGTTTTAAGTGGTTTGGTATTGTGCATCTCTTTCATGAACACCTGTGAATCTATGGCAGATTAGAGTAAGAAGCCGTATTCACCACTGGTTGTGCTGATTCAGCCAAACAAATAGAGGGGGGCACAGACACTTTCAGAGTCTTTACAGTGCACTGATGAATGACAAGCAGAGGAGCCTGTCCGACATGCTCATATAGTATCTTTGGTGCAAACTGTATGCTGGCTGATCTGGAATGCTGTCCCTTTGAATGGTCAAACAACATTCATTGTTCTCCATTGTGATGCTTTAAGAACAATCTTACATATTAACTTTCTCCATACAAGACTGCCTTTAAAGCAGAGTTTTGTGGCCTACTGCTTAACTCACACAACATTTAACATCCAAGAAACCCATTCTGGGCAGCGACTTCGTTGTAATCATATAACCTCTCCCCAGGTTTTTTCTTCCATGTGTCCACTGCTATATACAAATAACGACAATCGCTTAAAAAAATACCTCAAAGAGATGCTTCTCAATCATCCAGGGAATTTTTTTTATCAGACAACAGAAGGATGTATAAGTCAAGGGCAAT